AAATTTATATTTGTATATTTATATTAATTTTATATATTAAATTTATATTTAATTATTTCAATATATAATATTCAAATAATTATATTTTATTATTTAAATATAAATTTAAATAATTCATTATTTTTTTGTCGGTACTCAATATTAAAAAAGGAAAAAATATGTCGGCCGCGAATGTGTTAATAAAATTTTGTATACGTCAAATTTGATGATGATTTTCAAATGCATTGGATAGTTTGGTAACTTAAGATTACTTTCATATAATAAACGTACCCATTTCATAAACAGACGATTATTTTGATTAAAACACGAGTGTACACACACTCGTCATACATATTATCTTATACATACGTCATCGGTAAGAAAAATATGCACCGGAGGAATGAAAAGAAAACGAGTTAAATTAGGAAAATGCTTTTCGTACCCTTTTGTCATAAATTAAAATAATAATATTAATAATAATAATAATACCTATAAAACAACAATTAAAAACAATTATTCCCTATCTGTTAATTTCTATAATACATAGTCAATGTACAAACGCAAAACGTTCTTCTTACATGATTCTCAGTTTGCAGAAAGTTTTTTTTTTTTTTGCTTTTCTTTTCTTTCTTTTGGAACACGGGGAAAAAATGAACAAAAAAAAATAAAAAAAAAAATCTTTAACGCATAAAAAACGCAGTCTTCGATAAGGGTTCTCAAGGATACTCGCCAGCCCTTTTTTTCTCTCTCTCTGACGTTCCTCTTCTTTTCGTTCGTAGTTCGGCGCTGCTTATTTTTAAACATTTGTAAAAAATAAATGCTCTTTGGTCGTTACACTCGCGGAAATACTGTACTTTTATTTGGACATTTCTTTTTTCTTGGCACTTGATTTCCTTGTCAGTCTACAAATAAACAAATAAAAAAAAAGATGTTACAATAAATTGATAATAATTCAATGAATTGTGTGAGCATAGATATTACCTAGCCTCGAAAAAAGAAGTATCCAAATGATGGATATCGTCAATATTGTCCTATTGACAAATAACTGAACAGTTGTTGCATCATTCCCATAAACGTTTGTTTCAATACGAAGAATATCATTCGTCCTAGTATCGTCAACGTCCTTTTTAGCTTGCTGATAATCATGATGAATTTTTCCGAAACATAGTGTATTCATGTTATGATGAATTCCCTTGCAATCGTATTCCTCAGATCCATCGCAAAGACAAGTAGTTAATTTAGCTGCTTTTTCTTGTCGCCTTAGTATATTTAACGAATTTCTACATCTATGGAAAAAAAAGAAAGAACAAATATTAACAAATTTCAATAATATCTTTTATAAAAGAAAAAAAAAAAAATATATATATATATATATACGATACTTACCGATGAGTACATTTCTTCCCATGGAACATGCTCTTACAAAATTTATTATAATAAGATAATGCCGTTTGACATAATGCATCTGCGTTACATATCCAAGTTGCTATCCTACAGGATACCCTTGTCTTGTTCATAGCAGTCGTCACCGAAGATCTACAATTTTCAACTTTTTGTTTCGATTGTTGACAGAACTCGTCGTCTGGTGTACATTGACACTGTCAAAATAAATTTCTATGATTACTTGTCATAATTATGTGAGCATATATACACGTTGATCATTGCGAATGATATAATTATATACCATCATGAGTTCCTTTCCTTCATCGGTACTGGTCAGAGCAATTAGGGCGTGCTGACATGACTCGGAACATTTGTCACCTTGCAAAACGGATGCACAACCGGTGACATAGTGTTGAAGTGCCATACCACATCCAATTCTATAAGCACACCTAAGTCTTGCATCCTCGCAAGATATTGACGTGGATTTTGTATAGGTGAACATCATCGTTAAAAGCATCATCGAGACTAGGACAACGTCCGACCGATACACGCCACGAGACATCCTAAACAACACATCAGATTCTTTTTTTTATTCTTTCCTTTTTGTTTTACATCACCGTCGATAATTGTAAATAATACAATACTAATTTCTCTTTAGAGTTTATTATGTATTAGAGTGTATTTTCAGTTGGTAGTTTCAAGTATGGAATACAAAAGACGCTTAAGTAGGTTCTTCCGTTGCGTGCGAGAAAACAAGTCCCCTCGTACGTACGTACGAGCTCCTCCAACGAGGAACCTAAGTTGAGTTAATTTATAAATATTATTTTTAAATATAAATTAAATAATTGATTTTAAACTTATACTCTAGTTGTTAAGATTTCTCCTTTTTTGTGTATTAAAAAATGACATTAGATCTAGAACTTGATATCTACCTAGTTTCTTGGGACAATAAGGAAAAAAAAAACCAACAACGTTTTCACGTAGGTGTTTGATAGTCTTGTATCTGTCTAACCCGAGAAAATACAATTTCTTCAGTACCTAGAATATACGAGTGGGTGGAAAACTTACGAGCGGTTCGTATTATCAGAGTGAAAGTTAAATATATTTATGTTTATCTCCATCTCTTTCACTTTATGCGTTAGCTGAATCGTTGATAATAGTCCTGTTACATAATTTTCAATTTTTGTACGTGTATATGTAACATAATTTGCCTGATAAAAAGTTCTAACGAGATTCTCATTCGAGTGACATAGCAGAGTGAAGAAAAGTTAGCTAGCTAGCTAACTTGGTTTATTTTAAGAATGTCGCGGAATGCAAATTTACGCGCCGACATTTTTTTCTTCTTTGTCGTGTCAAAGGGAAACGACGACGACGACGACAACAACGACGAGCTATGGGATTTTCAACATTCGTCAACTATTTATCATCAGGTATGTGATCATAATATCTATTTACACGTTTAATCATAGAAAACGATTCTATAACCATCTGCCACCTGTTCATTCTCAATTGATTTATTAATTAACATAGCGAGAATTCTTCATTAATTACGATACAAGGAAACCCTATTTAACAAGACTCGTAATAAGATGTTTAAAGAAAAAAAAAAAAAGACGAGATAAATTAGAAACACGTGTAGTCATGAGGTAAAAAAATCTCTATAATATAACCATAATTAATTTTATTATACGTTCCGAACGTATTCAAGAAAATGGACAACGAAGCTCTTTGTTCCGAATCCATTCGAAGAAACTGATTTCTCTCTTACTCTTTCTCTTATTCTTCTCTTTCTTTATTTTATTTCTTTTTCGTCTCATCATTCTCTTGTCGTGCTTGAAACATCGTGATACACTTGCACCAGGGTGATCCAAAGTATCTAACGGTTTAAAGATCCTTTAACCAACTAACCAACCAACCTATGGTTTATTGATCCGGATACTACTTTCGTTTCTTAGAAACAAAAATTAATAAAAAATACTAATGAAATAGAAATAAAAAAAAATGACAACGAGTAACATAACATACGCGATTAGCTTCTTATTCTACTTATTCTATTTCGTATTTCGGATAATAAAAAATAATTATATTTGTAACTAAAAATACTCCTTTACTTGGACTCTTTCTTGAATCTTCCAAGGAGGAACAGCATTCGAGAATCTTAGAACACGTGACATACATAACGGATTTCAACTCTGGCTGGTGGCCAGAATTAGAAAAAGATTAAGCCCCAAGCACGTTCTCGAAAATCTTTCATACAAAAAGAAGACTGAAAAACTAAAAAGAAAAGGAGAATATACATATATATATATATATAAAAAAAAAGGTTACTTCTGTTTGTGTTTCGATCAGGTGCATCGAAGAAGCAGCTACTCGTCAAGAGGGTTTCGTTTATACGACGACTAATATTTACCAAACGATTACTTCTCGAGGTTCTCTCGTTAAGATACACAAGTTTGAGTGTAAACTACTATCGTACGAAACGGAAGTTGTTATTATGCAACGAATTCGAAAAAGGACTTTAAACTTTGCGAACCGACAAGTTTATATATTCTCTTTGTTTGTTTACATTCCCGTTCAATCATCCCATTACCAACATATGCATCCTTTACCTATACTCGATGCAAATGATAATCAATTCTTTCTAGTTATTGTAATGATTTATCTTATATTAAATAATAGAAATTAAAAAAAAGTAATTAAGTTTGCAAGTACTAAAACAACTATGGGGGGAACAATTTAGGTACAATGTGCAGTGAGTAGGCCCAGGAACAACGTAACCAGGCCCTCATTCTGAGTATACAACAGCCCCAAAATGGACCACCAAGACATTACCAGACGTGGCAACGAGGGACAGATGGCCAGCCCCCTCAGTGATCACCAACTTGAAATACTTCCTTCCCTTTTATAAAGATATAGTTCGTAACTCGAATGGTAGAATTCATAGTTAGAAAAGAATATATCGTGATGATCGAGTATCGTATTAGTAGCTTCCGGGTAGGAGAATCGTGACAGTTAACGTGATCTGTTAGGCCCCGTTTAAATCCGACTCTCTAATAGTCACGACACGTTTTTGTCATACTTTTCTTTCCTTTTTTATACTCTAAAAGGAATATCCAGCAAGGGGATGCATCCCAGGCTGCATATTTAACTTTTTAACTAGAAAAACTAGCATCTTGTTCTACTAGTTGTTCTAAAAGTTGCTGGCAATCAGAGATAAAGAGAAAGGAAAGGTAGAGGAGACTGGTACAGTCAAAGCGAATCTTCCTAGTTCATTCAAAGAAATAGTTAAATTGAGCTTCTATGTCTTCATAAATGATACTTATTATTTTTATCTAGTTGAAGGTTTTTACACGATGATACACAAACAAAAATACTATGAATGATCATCGTTGATTGTTAAGGAAGAAGGTTTGCCGTTCGAGTCACGATCGAGTCCAATGCCATGCGAGTTCATTAGCACAGGAACGAACATAAATCTATGGCAGAAAAGTGTCTTTCGCGCTAATGAGCAAACACTGGCAATTTCATCTTCCAACTACTTAAAAGAAAGAACGGAAGGAAGGAAGGAAGAAGGAAGATCGCGTGCGCACGTGTGCATACGTGTGTTTACACGTAGGGAGAAAGGACGATGAACGTACTCTTAGGGGCAGGTGATTTTCTGCATTGTTCATGCTCACCATCAGAGTGAAAGGGACAAGTCATCGTACTCTTTCTATCATTCGTTTAATCCTTATTAAACTACTTTATCAAATCAAATGAAATATTATATTTGTATAATATTATTTTCATATAAGTGTAACTGGTGTTCGCATTTAAAGTACTTTCAGATTGCAGGTAATTTTCTAAACTGTTCATGCAATTAAAACTTACTTTATTATATCAAATATATTAATATTAGATTAGAAAGGAAATATTTGCATAATATTATCTTCATATAGGTGAAACTCGTTCGCATTTAAAAGAGGACGATGACGCGATAAGTTCGATTTGAAAGTAGTTCGAACGAACGCCTACCGAGATCCGGTTTACGAAACTCTCCTTTATCATTTGCTCGTAACTCTTATGCGTTATTCACGCTTTATTATACGTGATAAGATAACATCGTATAGATAATTATCAAAACGTATAGTATAAAGTTGCAATATCTAAATTATATTTATTTAATAGAAACATTTGCAAAAAAAGGAACGATATACTGAAATAACTGTTATAACAATCTTCATTTATTATTTCATTCAATTATATCCAACAATTGTTTTTTTTTTTTTTTCAATCTTTTCTGCTAAACAAATTTGTACAAAGATACAGCGATATCAAAGATACAGATAATGTGTATCGAATATCTTTCGATTTATCTCGCTCGTAAATATATCAACACGCGGCAAGATTTGAAACGGGCATCCTTATTAAATCGAATGCAATCAAAATGCATACGAAATAACAGATTTTTATTTGAATCGTGATCGGTGTAATTTTTTTCAAAATAATCTCATAAAAAGAATCGAGAGAAACACGCAACTGGTCCATCATCATTGACTGAACATAATATTTAAGTGTTTCAAGTATCCAATAAATCAATCATTATACTAATAATATAGAAAAATATAGATGTGTCAGAGAAACGATCGATCTATCTTTCAACATTTATTATTTGCAAAACTTACTTATGTATTTATATATATATCAAATTAACAACGTACCTTTGCATATTCTTTCCAGAATAAATACACGATTAATCACATCGTGTTCCTCTCGATACAACACTTTGACACTATTTCTTAGAAATTTATTTCGTTTGTTATTATTCCCGTTTAAATCGTAACAATTTGACTAAACTATCTTGTTCCATCGTTCCCCATCCTTTGACTTTATTTTCTTCCTTCTCTTTCTCTTCCACTTCCTCTTCCTCTTCCTCTTCCTTACTTTCGTTTTAACGTTCAATTTATACGTTTAATTAATTAATCAACACTAAGAAAAAAAAAAAAAAGTAAACAGATATTCATGTATCCATTCTATATATAGGGAAACGAAAAGAAGGGTAGAGGGTAGTGGGGTGATATAAGAAACAAAAATAAGGAGAAAAAAAAATATTGATAAATCAGGAGACGTTCGCACACGGCCGCAGCCTCAGAGTTACTAGATTGAGTTGTGACGGGTTCGAAGCCGAAGGCCTCGTACTCCGCCCTTCTCCCCACTCTATCCTCCACCCACAGGGGTCCAGGGCACCCCAACCTGCGGTTCTTGGCTGATTGAGACACCAGCCTGCTTCCAACACTACCTTCATTTTCCCTCACCGACATCACCGACACTGGGCCACTCTACCCCTCTACCTTTATTCCTGTCTCATTCAGCATGCTTTCTATCCTCCTTCTTCTTCTTCTTCTTCTTCTACATTTATCTCCACCCCTACTTTACTTCTACTACTCGTGTCTCTCTCTCTTTCTCTCTCTCTCTCTCTGTTTCTCTTATTGGTGATGCTCAACGGGGCCTTAGAGGGGTCCTGTGATTCTCAACTAAGATCTTTTCAGAGTTCTAAGTATATCTGTTTTTTTGTTTGTTTTTGTTTTTTAATGTATTATACATCGTTATAAACTGCGTTTTCTTATAATTTATATTATTATAAATTATACATTTCAACAAATTCGTAAAACTTATTGGATTTTGTTGCAAATGAAATAGATGAAAAATAGAAATGAAATTTTATCGATCTGAAGAAAAAAAAATGAAATAAAAATTATAAAGTAATATGTGATTAATATATCAGTTAAAGAATCAATTATTTATCGAGGATATATAATTATAAAGTATTGGAATAACAATGGTTACAGTTTGAGAACCACGGTAAACCGTTCTATCTCTTTTTAGTAAAGCGTTAGGGCCTTCGCCAGGACAATGGTCCCAAGTGAAGAAGGAAAGCAAAGTAAACTTTAGGTAAGAAACTTGGACAGAGAGTAAGGAACACTGAAAGTGATAGGTCTTTGGCCCAGGTAATCTAAGCAAACTATAACACGTGGTAACCTGGCACGCGCTTCTTAAGCCGAAACTCAAACAATATCCTTGTTTGAAGTGAAATTTAAATATTAACATTTTCGTCTCCACATGTGTTATTTAAAAATACATGATCTATGTACCGGACTAATTACAAAAATTAAGGATTAAAACGTTCTGATTTTAACATTTTTTATCTCTTCGGGAAGGGATAAAGGAACAATTATTTTATTGCACTAATGTATTCTACTTATATTACAGGCAAACTTTACCCTCGAAGTCATCACTGCACAGGTGTTATAAAATAATTACATTAGAATGAAAAAAATATTAAAATTAGAACGTTTTAATGTTAAGTACTCTTTATTAAGAATATTATCACCAGATTGCCCCAGGAAGTCATTTTGACTGCTGTCTAGTTTCAATTAGAAAAAAATGATGTATATAATGATACAATTTTTTAGAATTGTGTTGATTTTTTATACAACATATAAATGCGTTTATTAATAATTTTAGTCATCTCCCTCTCTCCTTCATTTCCGGTATATATATATATATGTGTGTTATACTTACATTGCCCAATAGCAATCGTTTTGACTGCTTTGGAAATTGAAAATAATCAAGTGACTCTTATTATTAAATTGAGTTATTTATGGTCAGCAAAGTGGAGTCCCGAATTTTTGAGAAAAACTATGACCAGAGAAAAGTTCATGCAAATCCTAAGATTAATTCGTTTAGACAAAAGAACTGAAAGAAGTAGGCGCCTACAAACAAATAAATTTGCCTTGGTTTCGGAAATATGGGATAAGTTCATTGAAAACAGTCAAACTTGCTATCAACCAGGGTAAAAAATAAGATTTGACGAGCAATTATTTCCTTCAAAAGCCAGGTGCAGATTTACACAGTATATGTCTAATAAACCCAACAAATTTGCCATTAAATTCTGGCTTACATCAGATGTCAGTAACAAATATGTTTTGAATGGTTTTCCTTATTTAGGGAAAGATGAACAACGACCATCGTCAATGTTTCTAAATGAACACGTTGTTCTGAAACTTGTCAAGTCATATACAAGCTATGAAAGAAATATTACAACCGATAACTTTTTTACTAGCATGTCAAAATTAGCCAAAACAAAATTATTGGCAAAAAAAAACAACTCTAATTGGAACTATTAGAGGAAACAAAAGAGAACTGCTAAAAGCAGCCAAACAAACGAAGGATAACATGCCTCGTTTTTTTACTCTGCTATGTAAATCAGAGAATTGTGTTCTTACAATATATAAAAGCAAACCAAATAAAAGAGTAGTTGTTCTAAGTTCTAAGCATAAATTTATGAAAATTGATAAAAGTAATTAAAAAATGTTACCGAAATCTATTCAATTTTATAACAGCACAAAATTTGGAGTTGATATGGTGGATTAAATGACCAGAAAATATACAGTAAAAGTTAGTTCTCGTAGATAGCTGCTCCAAATATTTTTCAATATTTTAGATTTGGCTGCTATAAATGCTTGGATCCTTTACAAAGAAACAACAGGAATACAAATACAACGAAAAGTGTTCTTGTTTTAATTAACAGAACAGCTTTCCACCGAATACAGAGCTGCAAAATCATCAAATGCAACCCATTCTAACAAACTCAAAATTTGTCAAGTACAACTTTGCCATAACAACAACAAAACAAATAATATATGTGAAACATGTCAAAAGTATGTTTGCGAAAGATGTACACATAAAAAAATTTCCATTTTTATTTGCATAAAATGTACAGATAATAATGTATATATTATATTGTTATTCCAAGTGAAATAAATTGTTGTTATTGTTAATATTTATTAATAACCCGTTTTATAACTGTAAATAATATAAAAAAAATATTAAAAATAAATTTTTTAAATAAATTTCTTTACACGTTAGTTATTCTTTTACAATGCAGTCATTTTGACTGCTTTGGGCAATATAGGTATATACAAAGTTTCGGTCTTTCTAGTGTTAAACAACAATACACATTCATTATTAACAATTATTTTAATATTCTAATACACCCTACTTGCATTACAAAACAGTTTAACCCTCGAAGTCATCACTGCGCAGGTGTGATAAAATAATTACATTAGAATGCAAAAAATACTAAAATTATAACGTTTTAATGTTAAATACTCTTTATTAGAAATATTATTACCGTTGCACACATGCGCGACATTCGAAAAGTCATATAGACAACATTGAATAAAGGAATTTTGACAGAGAACAACGCGCCAGTCTGAAGGTGAATATCAAGGAAGATGATACTCCGATCATAAAATTCGAGCTTTTAGGTAACAATACACATTCCTTTCGATTAATTAACAATTATCTAAAGTATATTAATTAAATAACAATTATTTTAGGTAAATATACTATATATAGTATATAATATACTAATATATATACTTTGTAATATACTTAAATGTTTCCCAAATATAAATACTTTGTAATATAATATACTATATATATACTTTGAAAAAATTTGTCACATCCTCAGCCATTTTTTCATAAACAATTATTGATCAAAATACATATGCACACACACACACACACACACACACACGCTATAACTTTTTATTATCATGTAGTTTTTATCTTACTCTTTCTTCTTCTCATTTTCATATCGTTTCATCATATTTGATCGTTACCATCGACTAAAAATGATTCACTTTAAAAAGAAATACTAACCGATTCAATAGTCAACGTGATTTATCTCACAATCAAATACTTGTACTTTATCTAGTAAACGGTTAGTAATCGATTTAAAATTCGCAATACGATCCTCGTCATCGTCGTATATCATCGTAAATCTTTACATACGAGATGAACAAAATCTCTTATCATGATTTGTATTTTATATCCTTGAATAATATCTCTTACTATTCGACAACGTGTCTTATCTCAATATGCATATCATCAAAGATATTGTATTTCGGTGAATGAAAAGTTCGCGTAAGTTTTTTAAAATGAATATTTCCTAAATAAATTAATAGAAAAAAAAAAGAAAAAAAAACCATTGAATCCGATGATGCAGACCCTAGACGAATTCTCGAAAATTTCGATTTATTTCGTTATTCTTCAAACATCGTTTAAGTTACTTCGTCGTAAAAAGAGTTTCTTCTCATTGGTATTCTCTTCTAAACTGCTTGTTATGCGTACGACCCTAACAAAGTTAAATAGGCGCTGACATCGAACGAACGATCGGCATTCCGTGGGTGTTTTCCCATCCGAGTAACATATGCATATGCGTGCATTACGTACGTTCGTGTCTATTGCAAAATCACACGAGAGAATCTTTAGGCGCCATTCTTCTTCCTTTCATAGAAATTTATTTCATTTTTATTTTTTCTTCTTCTTCATTCTTCGTACCTTGAAATTGATTGAACACAAAATCTTACTTGTTTTTTTTTTTTTTTTTTTTTTTTTTTTTTTATAAATTGTAGGAAATGATACGTTTAGTGTTAATGTAATAGTTATTGAAGTAGTGATATTTATTGTAAAAGAATATTTTTCCTTTGAAAATGCCATACAAACCTTTTGAACCTTTCAACGATACCAATCGTGATCGTTTTACGATGATAATTTTCTTTGAAACGTTTCAAAAAGCCGACGAAGAAGGATAAAATGTGAAAAAGGGAAACTTAGTTAAAAGGAAGAAGAATACAAAGAAAAAAAAAGGATAATATATTTTAGGATCTTTGTATTATCAAGATGTAAAAAAAAATGAAAGAATGTTCTTTTACCTTTTGTGATTCTACGAGTTTAACAGATTTTATCTATGTTAATAATAGCCTTGTATAAAGGTATTATCTTTTTTTGTTTCTTTTTTAAATCTTTTTTTCAGGAAAAGGGTACCCGGTAAGAAACCAATGCAAATAAGTATAAAAAGAAAATTTGTAGAAAACTATGGTTGAATGTATCAATAAATCCATTTCAACAGAAAAACTATCAATACAATTTGTTCAATTCAATTTAAGGGGATATTTTATAACATAAAAAAATAATATATTGGATTGTCCGGAAAGTTTGTGCCGATTTTTGATAGATGGCATTAAAGTTCTTTTGCTAAAAAAACCTGAAAAGTTGTGGAAGCACGAAATTTTAAAGTTATATTATATTATTATATTTATTATTTATTATTTTATATTATTACATTGTTTTTATTATTATTATATATACATAATTATTAATATTATATATTATAATATTTATTTATTTATTTATTTATTTATACCAGAAAAGAAAAATTTACATAATAATAACAAAAGTTACTACATAGTAAATCCTAGAAGAGGTAAACATAGTTACCTGTACATAGGCTGGTACATAACTTAAATTATTAATACTTAAAACTAAGAAAATATAACAAAGATAATAAGATAAGATAATAACTAATATAACTAAGAAAATATAAGTACATTGAAATAACATTAATAAACTTTAGAAAAATTTTCAACAGTGATATAACGTTATTTAGTTAAACAATATCACATATAACATTTTCTAATTTACGCTTGATAGTATAAGCACACACATTATTATATATATATATATATTACTAGGGGTGCCACGGC